AGTTGTATGGATCTGGGTAGATATGGAGGCTCTTCGGTGACAAGCTTTTGGTTTACGAGTACCCAGTACGTCCATCAGACTCCATCTTTCATACTTCTTTTGCTGACATTTCGCACATCATAAATACCGACATCTTAAAACTCATGGAAGAGCAATCTCTCTTTCTAAAAAGTGAGTGGATATATGAGTGCATCTGTTCTCTTTTTACCTTTTAAAATTTTTTTCTCACGTGAGAAAAGTTTTCTTTATTTCCCTTTTCTCTGTACGGTTCTGAAAACTGTAATCGTCAACCTTCGACTGCTGATATTACATGTCAATCTCTAACCTTTCGAAAAAAGATTCGAGAAAGCTGCTTTCCATGAGGAAAATGGGAGTGAATATATCAGCATCTTACCTTCTTCATCTCGTCTCTGGTCTGAGGTGTAATGTGGACACGTGGTGGCTGGAGGCCCACTAGCGAATACAAATGTACGTCCTCCCTTCGCAAGAAAACGCGAAAATATCCATCAAAGGCATTTTTAAAGTCAATGGAAACTTCACAAATTGGTGACTTTTGCACATCCCTTTGAGCCGACGCTCATTTCCATCTGGTGAAAAAATATAGCACTATAAAAATATGTCTCCGACCAGCAACTGTGGTGGGCCTCAATGAGCAGCTCAATAGCATTCCTTTTCGTAATGAGCTCATCATGACTCACTCACATAATGAGTCCTATGACAACATGTGCATGGCGAGCATGTCAGGTTACCCACATAGAAACCAAGAGATCTCGTTCTTCCGTGACCATCTAACCGAGATCGCTAATTCGCCTCCAGCTCTGTTTCACGTGAAGCAGTCAGTATCTTCGTCTTCGTCGTCCATTCATTTCTCTTTGGCGAGGATCTTTCAGTACGTGCATATGCCATCTTCAACTCATCAGCAGCCTTTTGTGATGCATGATGGATGACCTCAGTCGGTCAAAACTTCATCACCATCGTACTGGATTCACAGTTTCAGATGTTGAGGGACCTTTCTTGGTGTGGGCGGAAGTGAGAGAGTAGACTACTTTATAGTCCATGACTATTCTCTTCCAGTTTCTGCATCAACTGGATTTTCCACACAAAGCTGGACTATTATCGAAGATTTTCAATTTGCATTTTATTGGTATTTTGATTAGACTTTTTTGTGAGAGTTGTTAGCATCATAGTGAATAGCGAGGATATATTTCATGGTTTGTTGAGACACGGTTTTCATATAAATTTCTATGTTTACTTAATCATTCTGAAAATGTCAGAACTATCAAAGGCTTTTGTTTCGCGCTACACTTGACTATTGATTTAGGTTGTTTTGCATGTAACATGCATGCAGAATACATTGATTTAAAATTGTCATTCATCTATTTCTTTTGATGTGATATCATGCAGATCACATTTGATAATCTTTGAGTTGATAATCATATACATTTTTCATGACATAATTCAATGATATTGTTCAGAATATATGATAACAGTGTTCTCATAAAGACAATTATTTTTATCAATTTGGAGAAAAATATTAGACTTATCATGAAAAGAGGAAATTGCATCTTGAGCATTCTTGGCTAGTTGGATATTTCAACACGTTTAATATCTAAAAAAATAGTGATTGCTGATACATTCAGTATTTGTGTGTTCATGATGCTTTATAAATATTATTATGACATACAAAAAATTCTTTCAATAGAAAGCATGAAGTTTCTTCCTTCATTCCTTCGTCCTTCCTTGTGTTTTTCAGCCTTTTGACCCTTTGGGTCCCCCGGGCTTGATCTATTACCATTACCATCATATTTCTGCTCACTTATTATAATATAAATTTATTTTTCATCTAATTGAGCCCAAATTTTAAAAAATGCTGTACATTCACTTTTGTTAAAATCCAACTACTTTTTGTAACACTATGGCTTGTTTATAATCCTGCTGTAACAATAGCATAGGCTCCTGAATCTTGGTTTTATTATGCATAAGGTATTTCTAACATGCCTTAGCTACATTATCTTCAAAGATGAAATTTGTCTTGGCTTGTTCCTTCCAGCTATATCTTCATTACTCACATGCGATAGGTATCCACATGAACTGGTATTCACTCGGAAGAAAATTTTATCATGACAAAGAATGATTAACTCACTAGTGCTATGATTCCTTACCCTAGTCAAGAAGACATACTAATACTTGCTATGGGAGAGTGAAAACCTCAATCATTGGTATGCCTTGTTCCCTAGGATAGTTCAGATCCAGGTTTGGTCGAGATAACCAGGTGACTATTTCATACACGTGACATAGTTTAGAAATGTTATTACTAATCACTCTTATGGTGGCAACTGAAGCTACATTAGCTAAGATCTCCAAACATTTGTATATTTAGAGATAATAACTCTTTGCTCATGTAGATTTATAAATAAATGAGATTATATACACTAAATATGACATTCTCGTGAGGTAGCTTGCATGAATCTAGCTCACTATAAGATAAGAAGTAACTCTCGCTTTGGATTCTTGTACGTTGTATTGTAGGCAATATATTTTTTAAGAAGGCATAGTAAAATCCATATTCGATTATTTCTTTAATTTATGATTGTATTGGAAGATGATTTTTTATGCGGATAAATTATGATATATTTACATGGTGATCATAATCGGTGTAGTTTCAAGTTATCCAACTCTCCACAGATTTTATGTTTTAATTTTACTTTGAAAACTTTCTATTGTCTCTCTCTTACTGAGCTAGGTGATCTGAGCTGTTTCGAAAGGCTACGTTACGTAGCTTGACGAGATGAATCCACGAATGGACACAGGGTAACTTTCTTTCTCTAGTGTCCTTTTTTCTAAGCCTCTAGTTCTTCCTGTTCCTGGTCCAAGATACACTTCTCGATCCGAAGAACGATGTTCTGTGGTCTCGTATGAATCGATGTTATCCCTGACGAGATATTGATCTCCTGACCGGATCTAGATGGGCCACACAGATCGCGAGAACAAAATCTCGCACTGTGAAACCATATGCCATGGATAGGATGTGCATCACAGACGGGCCTCTTTCTTCAGGAGGAAGAAGTCCGGGTCAGAAACTTATTCACGAGCTTCCGTCCTTGACTTCGTTTACATTGCATACGTGAGGATGGAAATCCGCAAACTTGTACTCATATCATGGACGCTCATTCTCATCCTTCAGGTAGAGAAGCAGATCTTGTCTTAAAGATTCCATCAGTATAAGGAACATCCCGACTATAAAGATATAATTCAACTTAAGAAATATGTATATAAATTTGTCACTGAATGATTATAAAACATTGAAAAAGTTCCAAAATTCTATTTGCAACACATTTGTATAATTAATTAATTTTATTTTGATACATTTGAAAAAAAATTAGATTATTTGATAAACATAAAATAAAATTTATGAAACATTTTTCTAGCTCGCTTGGTGTAGAGACAACATGAAAAGATAATGTTCTTCTTGGATATAAGTGCAGATGTACCCGTAATTTGTTTAGAATTTCTAAATGTTACTCTTTTCAAAATACTTTTACTGTCTACTTGCACAGAAATCATTTGTCATTCTACATTCAAACCTTTGCGAGCACAGTCATGGGATACAACGCGAGTACAATGGTGTCAGCTGTTAGATAACGGAGACAGAGTAGTCAGTTGGGATGCAAAATGTCAGCATATCGGAAAAGGTCAGATTCCCAAAGGATAGGGCTTGATAAGATTGGCTGCGAGAAGTCGAGTTTATGAACACACTTTATTAAGATTCCTTGAGGCCTACCGAAGGTAAGCTATGATGCTGCACTGGTGCATGAGCTTTCCATTTTAGGTGGACGACAAGGAAGTTTCCAGGGCAGTTGCCGTTGAAAAGGTCATCTGCAAAGCCAGCTCCATATAGACAAGGAGAGGCAGACCTCATAATTAGCACGTAACCTCAAGTATCAGGCTTTAACCGTATTGGACTGCATGCTTGTCTCGAGGGTGAATCTTCATGCCCTGGCCCGTGATGTCGGATGCATGAAGACGGTGCTGAACGATCTGAGGTCGTTTAGGGAGAAAGCTGAGCGATGTAAAAAGATCCAGGCGTATCTGTAATCTATTTAAAGCGATTGGAACGGAGAAACTGGATCTGCCTCCCGCCTTGCTGTTTGACCTGACTGACGGGGATCGCAGAAGTCGTGGTCTGGAAACTCTGGTGGCTCGAGTTCGTGTAAATGTAGGCAATAAGACGAGATGTTCTAGCTTCGAAGGGAAAAATCACAGTCAGCCACTTTCATGAGCAAGGAAGGAAAGTGGAATTGAAATTTCGACCAAGATAGTCAATGGACCCTGTCGAGGTGTAGCGTGAGCCCGCCATCGAACACGATGGATCTGAACGGAGAGAATGATGGAATGTCTCCTATGTCATCCGGCCACAAGAAAACAAAACACACTTTGAGCTGTTATGGGAGCCTGGAGCCTGGAAGCCTCCTTTCTAAAAGTGATCGCTTGTTCTATCTGGTTCTAGGATCTGAAGATCAGTAGGTGAATCTCCTTCAATGCTTTGCCTTTCCGCGGATGCCAGAGGTCATCATGAGGCATGACAGCGTGATTCATGAACCAGTAGTGCGTCTGCTAGCATATGAAGGAAAAGTGAATTCCTGTCGACCTCGGGGAGTGAACGTTGGGAAGCACATGAAAATAACTTGGTTTTTTAAAAGTATTGTATTTTTCAAACTCGCAGATCCAGGACGATTTGGAATTTGATCATCACTTCTGTATTAGGAATCTTTGTTTTGTTAAAGGGATTTTTATCCATTTTCTTTCAAACCTTGGCAGGCTGTATGTGCATTTTACCATAGCCAGGTGAGAAATACAAGATATGCTGGAATCGGGTTCGACTCTCCTTGCTGCTTACGGTGAGAGATATCCCGATGCGCACGATAAATAGTAGCTCGTGATGAAATAAAATTTTTCTCATTCATTATGAACTTGGTTAACAATTCAAGGAAGGATGAGAGCTATCTTCTGGACCATGAGCAAGTGGAATGATGAGATTCAGGAGATGGACTACGCTTGTGAAATTAAACTTACTTCAGCTAACAATTATTACGACGAGTTTTTTTTAGTAAGAATCACCCAGAAGGACAAGCAGACATAGACTGGAAACGAGGGCTGGAAAGTTCAAGCATCGGACCGTCGCCAGAGTTTTGATTCTCAATAAGAAGAGCAGCAACTCCTCCCCTTGGAGTGTGGATTATCATTCCTATCACAAGCACATACAGTACAGTGTGCAGGAAGTCGCAGTGCACTCAGACTCAGAACTTTCTAAGGAATGGCTCCAGGTGACTGCTGCGTGCCACCGCCTCCTTCTGCGTATGAAGGCAACGGTGTGCATGAAAACTGGGACGGGGTTGATGTCTATGCTTCTGGATCTTCCACTTCCTCATCTGCAATTGTTTTTATCTGCGATATATACGGTATGTAAGGCGTCGTTAACCTGGGTACTGCTTCTAATTAATGCGATGCTAACAAATATCAACACTTCCGATGAGGAAATTACGATTGCAAGTTAGTTCTTCAAATTCAATTTGCCGCAACTATTGTGAGGATCCTAGAAATCAGAACGAATGCAGTCCCCACTTCTATATCTCCAACTCTTCTTACAGACGATTAAAACTTTCAAGAATACTGTCAGTCTAACTTGACAGCATTCGGTTTGCCTTCAGAAGAATATCTGTTGTTTTTCTTCCACACCCGTCGTTATTTCTTCCGTCTCTGCCTGGAGAAATTTCTCCAGGCAGAGACATTACATTCTTCAATGAGTCCAACTCCACGTATGATTTATTAAGGCTGGATGATAGACTCATTCTCATTCAATTTCCGTTTCTACGTTTCTTGTGCCTCCGTTTCATGAACTTTAACTGTCTACGAGGAAAGCTCTCCGTGTATCAACTATCGTTACCTTTTCTATAAACAAATAATTCGTGTCAAAATATGTGATACTGTCAGGAATGTTCCCGTGAATGTAAGCACAAAATTATTCCTACTTCAGGTTCATATAATAATCTATTATGATCGAAATCTTTCGACATGTGCACATAATGATGTTCAGCCTATGGTGAACTACATGTTGACAGTGAGATTTGTACATCGTACTATGCTCAACGTATTGATATTCCAAGATTCTTAATTACCGAGATGTAGAGCAGTTTCTGACTCACCACTCCGAAAATGTGTGCAGGATATGAAGTCCCGCAAGCAAGGTCAGTAATAAATTCAGTATTCAGTTTTTAGCTTGGCAATGAGACCTAGTAATCTGTTCGTTTCAACATAGTTACATTTTTTTTTAAATATTCGTAATCTGGGGTACATGTCAGTCGTGACGGGGCGGTGTAAAACTCCATGATCATGATTATTAGATACGATTGAGACAGGAAGATTATGGTCGGGACCTATTCGATGGACACATATTAATATCTTAGTTCATGTTTCTACAGAAATCTGGCTGACAAACTTGGAGCTACCGGCCACTATGTGATAGTCCCAGATTTTTTCGACAAAGACTTCTTCTATTCACCGAATCCTGAGAATTTATACGAGGGACTTCCAGAATGGCTTGGGAGACATCCTCAGGTAAGAGATTTCCAGCGCGCTACAAAGTACGAATGACAGGACGTCACGTCCTCTCAACTTCTCAGTTTTCGGAGATAATTCTAACTGTAAGGGACTTCGGCTTAGCAAATATTTTCGGTTGTATCATCCATCAGATATTTTATGAAGCTGACCTTTCTATCTTTCTCGTATTTTGTCAAAACTTAAGGAGGTTTCTCTTCACATTGGTGTAGCCTTGGGTTGTTATTTGACATTACTCCTGGGACCATATGTGTTTTGCAGCCGCAGGCTATTGAGAGAGCCTCTAAAATGATTGATATACTACGTACCAAGGGTGTGAAGAAAGTTGGAGTTATGGGAAATTGCTGGGGAGGTAACCATCTTGAACGAAATTTCCAGTTAATCTGGACTATTTTTTTAAGTACTGCCTTTGAGTGAAGATGCAGGTCACTACATCCATGTCGTGAACATTAATCCTCACTGAACAACCTCATTTTCCTCCATCCGTCGAAACTGAAGCTTTTTCTTGAAGGTGGTCCACTTTCTCATACCTCTGACACTGATATGGACTCTTCAGGACTACTAGTCCCAAGGACTCCCTTCGAGAGTTGAGGACGGTCATAGTCTTTGGTTGTCTGACTGTCTAGGTCGTGAATAATCGTTTACTAAACCTATTCAGTTCTGTACCTTCCCCACCGTAATTGTGTGATCTTCCCCTGCCCACTAAAGCTATTTACAATAGCTTGAGAGTTGTATTGTGTTCTACTGCTTACACTTTTCTAATCAACTCAGCAGCATATGGCAGTATTCTCTTGGTACCTGATCCTGACAATTTTCATGCTATTGACTTCCAATGCTTTCGTAAATCCCAAGTCCCTTTGAAGTTGGTCAAAAGTATTGCCTTAAAAGCGAGACGAGTTTTTTATGGTGCACACAAAAGTGGAGGAATCCCAGTGGAAAGTAGATTTCTAATCATCTCGTGCTCGAAAGAAATGTTTTGTTTACCGCCCAGCATGCACTGCAAGGAACTGTATGAATAACGTGGCTTATGTGAACCTAATGTTTTCCTGATTTTGTGCATCAGGTTTCAGACTAGAGTACGCATTCGAAATTTGAATAGTGTCATTAGATTCTTAGTTTTTCCTGATATTTTAATCAGTTAAGAGGTCAATGGACCAATTCTGGTAACCTTACTGAGTATCTTGATCTTTGGAGTACTTTTTATCTGCCGATGGATCCAAGAAAGATGCATGGTCAAAAGGTCAGATAGCATAGACTGGCAGATTTGTTATTGGACAATGCCATTGATGTAGCCCGTTCGACTAGCAAACATTTTCATGACCATCGCAACTGTCAACCGATCAGATTCGGCTTGTTGTATGAGATGCTGGCTCGCTTGAAGATGTGTAACTTGCACATTGTTGTCAGTGTAAGGCTAGCTAACGTCGTCGTCAAAATCGTCATTCGGGTTTCTAATTTTTGTTAGTGGATATGGATGCTATTAATGAGGTGCTGATACTGGTGAAATTGTTTTGTGAATCTTACAGCGAAGATCGCCATCAGTTTGCTATTCGGAGACAAGGGAGACAAGGGCGCCGATGCTGGGGTCATGAACCATCCCTCATTCCTCACACACGACGATGTGAAAGGTAAGAGTTCTCGTCTGTGGCCTTCCTCTCTTTCTCACCGGATTGCACGCAAAGATATTTAGTAAAGACCGGATCCTACGCACGATTTTGTGCTAATTTTTTTGTCTTTGTATTGCCAGCGGTGAAAGTTCCTCTAGCCATACTCGCCGCCGGTATAGACTTCATCACCCCACCAGAAATGGCGAGAGAGTTCGCCGAGATTCTTGCCAATCACCCTGAGGTATGTACCTGCTTGAAAGTGCATTAGAACTCTTCCTTGCTCATTATGCAAAATGAAGCTATTGATTCCCGCACAGTACATGCAGAGTAGTCGGATAAATAATAGTCGGATAAATAAGAGCTACTGATATGGACATGAAAATCCTTGGACCTCGTCCAGTTCAAGTCAATTGGGCTGAATCCAGATCCTGACTGTCAAATACTAAATTTTACTTGGAATTTGTTCCATATACGTAGTCTTATCGCAGTGCCATGCAACGTAATTCTGATACAGACCCATGTCCAGATCTTCGTAGGCTAGCTTGGACGGGCTTCAAGGTCATGTTGCACTCTAAAGTCTTGAGTCACAATCAGATCTTCATATTCACGGCAGTCAATGATAGCAAGTCAAAAACTGGTTTCAAGATAGAGAAGCTGTGCAAGCACAGCATTAGGTTAGGGATCCAGTCGACCCCACGACTGACTGCAAGGCCGTATGCAATGGAAAGCTTAAGCCTTGTTTACTTCTGCTGGCGTCCTACCATCATGTGGCTCCCTGTCGTCATATACGTGAGACGACGATTGGATCACAAGTCGTGAATCTCATTACCCATCTACCTTTTTGGTGACGGAGGTGGAAATTCCTGGTTGTCGGACTTCTGGCGAGTCGTATTGTGGTCTTAGTATAGAAGTGGAGGCGAGAGGGCTCTTATTTTGAGCCCACTTGTGCACGAATCTTACGTCCGAGGAAAGAAAGAAATTTCCTGTCTTAGCGAACTTGACAGGAAGAAGCATATTATATTTAGTACAGGTTGACTACGGCTGCTAAACAAATGGACGATCGATGGTCATCGGGTTGTGGGAACCGGTAGATTTGACTCGGAATCCTGACATAGAATAGTAGGCGTGGGGGGATGTATGGACGCGATGCAGGAAGAGGGTGACTGTGCAATGGGATTCATTATGTTGCGGTCAAGATTGAAATCTGATCGAGACTGCAATCACAATCGTGCACACAGGAATTTAACCTATCACCAAAGCATACATCAACTCAAACGTAGTATAGCCGAAGGGAAGAAGTCTATTTCCAGCTGAAACCATCTGAAGGAAAGACCCCTGCTGTAAAGATGTATCCGCGGTAAAGTGTTTTTGCCTTTATCTCGTCTGGGAATACTCGGAGGCAAAACACGAGTTTTTGGACTCGAAGGCCGGCTGCTTGTCAAGGGCGAGGAGCTCTTCACAAGGAGCGTGTGTATCTTTGCATAGCAGAGATGGAAAGAATTTTAGAGAAGGTGCTCACTGTGAAACTCAATTTCATTAAGTACACTTGAAGTCCAATGCTGCTGTCTAGAGTTCGTCAAGCAGGATAACTGTAGCTGTCAATCTCGACTTGACCTTCATTGAGGCAGCTCGCAATCACACGATGAACAGCCGACCATGTCTCCGACCAGGCATGCCCATCATGTAAATTCCTGATTCTGTATGTCCGGGTGTCCCTGATACGAGACATCTGTCGGAGGTCAAAGTTTGAGTCAAGTACGTGCAGATTAGAATTCTAACTTCAACCCACTGAGTAAGATGACGCAAAGGTCAATGAGCGGAGAGATAGATACGTTTTAAGAATGAGTTTCAAGCTCTTAGCACAGTGTGCCTATCGTGAATGCAATGGAGCTTCACGGGAGAAAAGAAGACATGGCTTCATTGGTAGAGTCCATGGGTTCCAACCGAATGTGGATATCCTAATCTGGTCGCTGTCAGATGGGAGTTATTTCTCTTCAATTACTGATACAGCCCGAAGGCACAGCAGATCTAGCCCGGCGTGAGGATCATGATAAAAACGCAGAAGAAAGTCCACTTATGCAGATATCGATCTGCCCGTCACGATTAGACTTTTTTCTGCGTGTTCATCATGGCCATGGTGTGTCCACCGGGGCATGCATTGTTCATCATTCAGCTCAGCGCTGAAGGCCGTTCATTGGAACTAGTCTTCTTCCTTTTGTTTTTCAAAGGATACAATTGCTTGCTGAAAGTTGCGATCGTTGCCATCGCTAGCGAGTGTTGTTCCAGCTGCCATTTCTGGAATATGTGGATTGAATGGGAAGAAAACAATCCAGGACAGAACCATCCAATTGTACGGTCAGAGCGGATGTCGCGTTCCAGTGGGCGATTTTCTGAGAAAATTTCTGGAGACGACGCAAATGTTTATTGATCAACTAGACTTTTGGCCAATTTTTTGGCAGAATCAGATTCATGTGATACTGCGGCGGCAGTTATGGAGTCCTAGTTCTCTGCTTTCGGCTTACAATGACATACAGCTACCCAGGCCTCGGTGAAATTTGTTAACATCGTTCTCACAACTGGTGAATCGAGAAGTTTCACTGCTCTTGGTCTCTTAATCTGGGATTCTAAATCGGCCTGCTTTCGTGGCAACCTTTCTTGCCGAAGTCAATCTCAACGGAATGTATCGTAAGAGATGAAAATGAATTGTCATTCGGTTTGTCGCACCCTAAACGAACGACATGTACTAACTGCTGGGTTTTTTAGTTAGAACGTGAATAATCTGTAAAGCTTTCTATTTCGCACTTTGTAGCGAGATGCCGGTTATCTGAAGTTTTACAGATTTACTGCGCCGGTTAAAGTAGTTTCAGGGAATAGTGAAAGCAGACCATTGGATTGGGGATTGACTGCTTGTATGCTGTGTCGAATATTTTTCAATGATTGCGAGTGAGTGGCCAGATGTGATTATGGACATTGATCATCATCACGAAATATTTGTATCGCAGGTTGGAGACAGATCTTTCGTGAAGGTTTTTGAAGGAGTCGAACATGGATGGACAACCCGATACGACACAGGCGACCAGACTGCTTGCCAGAGAGCCGAAGAAGCTCACCAAGACGCCATTTCGTTCTTCGGCAAATATCTGCAATAATAATCCGATACTGAGCTAACCTGCTGCTTAGAATAAACAAGTATTTCTTCTGTTTTCATTTTATTCATGAAGAAATTTAGAAAAAACAGAAAAAAAGTATATTTATGCCACCGTAACGTATCGGCACTAGTTACGGGACGAAGGAGGCAATTAGAGAACCTTGCGTCTGCTATAGCTAGGGTGAACCTCTAGCGATTCTGTCGTAGTTCGAATCCAGCTCCAGTGTGGGGTCTACTTTCGCCTCATTTGCCAATAAGTGACAGCTAGTCCGACGTTCCGAGTAATGTTCCTGCTCCTGGAAACCAAAGGAAGAAAGTGCAGAGAATACCTTTTCTCTTATTCTCAGTAAAGTGACTGTCTTGAAATGTCAAACTCGTGCGAGTACCTTTTTGTTGCAGTTAACCTTTTCACGCATTTAAAACCCTTATAAATTCTCGAGAAGTAAAAGTTTCATACTGTAAGAGAAAGTATGAAACTTTTGCTTCCAAAAAAGTTTCCAATACTTCAACTACAACTGTATACAAGTTTCATGAAGATTATGTAAAAGGGTTGACTGATTTTTGCAAAGTATAGATGTGGGGTGAGAGTATGTTTACTCACTAAAAAGACTGTAGTCTCGTTGTACATCCACAACTACTATCCATATTATATATAAATAAAAATTAAACTTATGTAAAGACTAATGATGTTTTTTTGCTGGATTACACAGGTTAGATAAAAGACTAAACCATTAAACAAAGTGCTGCAAACATTGTGTTCAATGTATGGCTAAAAATAATCACCAATAACTTTTAAGTACAACTGTTTCTTGTCATTACTAGTCTAAAATGTAAAAGTAAGTTGTTCAAAATTTCCATGAGATTTTATTGACAAATGGATCTTAACATTGTTGATGAAAACTGGTTATCGAATGTTTGGCGGTAGGGCCGGTTACTTTTAGAATAATTATCCGGAGGAAATGTGTTTTTTTTTCAAAACACTACTGTATATGTTGGAAGCATATTTATATTGCATCTATGACAAATAAAAGTCTTTTGTGTTTTCAAAACGACTTGAAAAAATTTCGCTAATGGTGTGCATCAAAAGAATAGTCTTAAATGTACATTCAATCACCACAATCTTGGTGTTGTTTATAAATCTAATCGTAGAAAATCACATGTGAGTGACACTTGTCAAATTTATTTATCATTAAAATATATGGCTCAACGACGATTACGGCTGAATGTGTGATTATTGTGAAGAAAACTAATAGATCAAATCATTATACTCGTTGAAGCGTACAATGTTTTCACTCTTTATCTCAAAATAATAAGTTTTGAACCCAGTATCATTCTTGGAGAGACTTGGTTGAAATTTGCCCAATAAATAGATTGAACTTCCCCTTGACACAATGTATTTTATTGAGATCAGCAATCATTGTCATGTGTATACGTGTTGTCTATAATTAACATAGGAGTAGGGTTAACTTTTGTTGTATTAACCCTAGGTAGAGTCTAGGTTAGTTCCACTGCTGCCAGATAGTATAGTTGAGTGGACTCAAAGAACTGGAAGTTATTTATGTTGAGACTTTCAATGTTGGGGTAACTTTCAGTAGGTTGACTACGGTGTCTCGTTAGCATCAGCTTGAATTTTATGAGTTATGAGGTGAGTTTGATTCAACTTGATGTGAAATTTGTGTTTTAAACGAATGGAGTTTGCACAATCGTTTTCATTCAAATGATTGTTGGGAGTTAGAGGTATCTAACCGCAAGCTAGGGGTCATTTTTCTATGTGTACGCTCTCGTTACTATATATATGTGTTTGTGAGTATGGTATGAGAGCAATGTAGGTTGTATGACAATACATATTTGCACGACATGGCTAGGGCTATTGCTATTTTGTGGGAAATTTGGTTTGTGTGTGCTTCGCTTGCTAAGGAGATCGCTTTCTTCTCATATTACTATACAGAGAATACCATACCTTACACGGAAAGTTTGTCAATTGAGTTAGAGAAATCTATACTCGTAGTGTCCATTCTAGTGATGGATCTGTATTTAACTAGAGTATTGTATTTAACCAGGATATTATACATAGAGTATAATACAATTAAATATAAAAAGCATAAAACATATGATATAATATATATGTGTATATATTACGGTATTAAATCTCCACCAAATCAAATTGCAATATGAAGATTGTGAATGACTTTGACAAAAGTTTTGAGAATGATCAACAGTACTTTACGATGTTAGATGAATTTTAGAATCAGCTGCCATCGATAGACCAGAGTATCTAAATATATCAATGATATGTGTCATTATAGTCATGTTTTTGAGGCTACGGCCATTTTCTCCTTGAAATACTTCGTGGACATTCATAACGATTGCTTTGTAATCGCCATGTGCTATTTATTCACAACGGGAAGTACTCTAAACTTGAATACTGCGCATTGCTGCATTTCTGTGATGGAATGAAATTGGATCAGTACATTGGCAAATCTGTAGTATATTTGTCGGGAGAGTACATCTGCCAAAACCGTGTAGTGTGCATACGATCGTGCTTCTCTCCTTATTATGTTTGTTTGCCAGTAGGAAAATACTCACTATCTTTTGATGCTCATATCCGCATCACTTGAGTCCTTCATCATCACGATCAATTTAAGAAGCTGATGGACAAGACAACAGTTAAAACAATTTTAGTGTATAATTGTAACACTAAGGTTTAGAGAAAAGTTCACTCGAAGATAGAAATGTAAACTCTGAAAATGAGAGATACCAACAATGATTCTCCTCTCCTTTATATAGCTCTCACCAACAAGTACAAAGAAATAAGATCTTATCCCCACCATCCATCTCACTCCTAGTGGATGGATGACGTGGCGGATAACCCTAACAAGCTAAAGTATCGCTGACGTGGCGCTCCCAACTAACATACTAACTAACACACTCAATCCTTACCTAACAAACACACAAATTGCTAACGTGACGCTGTCAACTATCACACCTACTCTCTATCTATCAAGCGCGCGGATCGCTAACGTGGCAGCTACGACTAGTGTACTCTAAAGTATCTATATCAACATTTAGAGTAACTTCTACTTTAGTTCTTACTAACTAAAGATGGTTACAAACCTCACTCCTTTTAAGATGCAACGTCCTCGTTGCATATACGTTCAAACTCTTGAACTATTAAAGGTGCATTTGCTAAATTTTTAGCTGGTTCTCAAGTTGATTCATATGCTGGATAGCCTTTCCATCGAATCAAATACTCTACTTTGGGATACTTATGACCTCGAATACGTTTCTTGAGTATCTTTTCTACCTCAAACTCCTCATGATCTGCTATCAAGGTTGGAAGAAGAGGCGGTGCTGGTTGGTTGGTGAAGTGTTTAGGTCGTGGTACATATTTTTGCAATCGTGACACATGAAATACCGGATGTATTTTCATATGTGACGGAAGTTCCAACTTGTATGACACTTCACCAACACGCTTCAAAACCAAAAATGGACCAATGAACCTAGGGTTCAATTTTGGTGTTCCTACAAGAGACAAATTCATTGTAGATAACCAAACATGATCTCCGACCTCAAAAACCACTTCTCTACGATGAACATTGGCATGCTGTTTTTTCCGATTTTGGGCTATCACCAACTTCTCCTTGGCCTGATGTAGTCCTCGATGAATATGCTCCACAAATTTGTTGACTGCTGCAACTTTGGTCGAAAACTCCTCTCCTTTCGGAAGTCTCATCAAACTTGAGGCAGTTATAGGATGAGCTCCATACATAAGAAAAAATGGAGACACTTTTGTAGATGCATTAACAGAATTGTTATATGCAAGTTCCACAAGTGGCAAAAGGTTGCTCCCATTCTTCTTGCTCTTCTAATGTGAATGCTCGTAACATATCTTCTATGGTTCTATTTGCCTTCTCCGTTTGTCCATCAGTTTGAGTATGATAGGTCGTTGACATTGCTAGTTTTGTTTTGAAAAAACTAAACAAAGTTTTCCAAAATAAGTTAGTGAAGTGAATACCTCTATCCGTGATTAACACTTTGCTAAAACCATGATTTGCAAAAACTGCATCTAGATACAACTGCATCTAGATAATAAAACTGCAAAAACTGCATGCAAACCATGATTTGCAAAAACTGCATCTAGATAATAAACCCCCTGGTTTTTTATTACTTGCCTTGTTTTGTTGACAAGCAACAGAACTTCGAACATAAGACTCCACATTCTCATGTATTTTGGATCAATAGTACACTCGTTGTATACTCTCCACGGTTTTCTCCACTCCCACATGACATGCAATGGTTGTGTCATGACTTTCGGCTAAAATCATTGTGCGCAAATCTTGATCTTGTGGAAACATATGCGCTGTTTGTAGAGCGCCAAACTTCAAGATTTCTCCGCCTTTCCAGTTTGTAGTGCTCGAGTGATCTCTTCATCCTCCTTTGTGGTTTGTGTCATCTTGCTCCACCAATCAGCCTGAATTTTCACTTCTGTAACATGATTCAAACAAGGCATGCGTGTGAGAGCATTTGCAAGTTGCTTCTTCCCCTCCACGTACAGAATCTTCATGTTGAAGCGTTGACGCCACTTTGCCCATCAAATTTGTCGTTTGGACAGATACTTCTAAGTTTCCAAATAATCCAAGGGTTTATGATCGGTCTCCACCACAAACTCCTTATCACCCAAGTAATGCTTCCAATGTTTTGTTGCCAACACAATGGCTAACTCCTCCCGTTCAGTCGTGTGATAATTTTATTCCGCCGCCACCAACTTTCGAGAATAGAAAGCAACTGAATGCCATCCATCTTCTCATTCTTGTTGAAGTATGCCGCCTACTGTTGTACCTGATGCGTCAGTAGCCAACTTGATAGGGCGGTTAGGATCATACCACTTGAGTATAGGTGTGTGTAATAAAGCATCTTTCAATGCTTGAAAAGCTAACTCTTGAGCTGTTCCCCATCTCCATTTTTGACCTTTCCCTAACATGGAAGTCAAGGCTTGAGTTAGGCGAGCAAAACCTTTCACAAATCTACGATAGAATCCAGTGAGTCCTTGAAAACTCTTCAACTGAGTTTGATCTTCAAGTGCTGTCCATTTCTGAATAGCATCTATCTTCTCACTCATCACTTGGATTCCTGCAGCTGTAACTCTATGACCCAAGTAATCTACTTTTTACTTGCTAAATTGACACTTTGAAGCTTTGGCATACAATTGATTGTCTCTCAAAACTTGAAGTACCTCTCGTAAATGACTTCTATGATCATTCAAAGTTTTGCTATAAACCAATATATCATTTAGAAAAACAATGACAGATTTATCTAGATAAGGGGGAAAGATATTGTTTATCAATCCCATGAATGTAGCTGGTGCATTAATGAGACCAAAAGGCATCACTAGATATTCAAAGTGACCATAC